CAATAATATATAGCGGAAAAATTATTTATGGCACTTTCCAAGCCAAATTTGTTTCCAAAATTTTTATCCGAATCTAAATACGAAACATGATATTGTGACATGTAAGATTAAAAAGCGTGCGAACCTGCCACTTAGACTTTGTACGTTTTGAATTAATATATAGGGAGAAATAGCTTAAAAAATATGGATGTAAATGTAAAAATTTTACATGTATATATGCTAGCATAACTTAACGTAATAATATTATTCATTTACTATAAAATACACTAAAATATATTATATATTTTCATTTCTTGCTCAAATTTAGAAAACATTTATACTTATTTCCTTTATCTTTCGGTCTCTTATAAACCAACTTAGTGATTTTCCTAACTAAATATCAAATTGATTTTTTTTTTAAGTTGATTTTGTACTTCATTTTAAAATAAGAAGGGAGTTTGATTACAAGCAGTTGATACTTCATTTTTGAACTTGAAAGACCAGAAAGTGCTGATAATGACGAGCACCCCTCTAGCTTCAGAGCTTGCTCCTCCCATGTATACTACATAAATTTTTTGTCGTCCATCTCAGATTCAACAATTTCTGTTACAATAAATTTGCATGTGATGAGTCACCATTTTAATTTGTCTTGTACAATCTAAATTTACCATTAACCTGGGGATTAAAATCCTGAACACATATGCACACCTGGTATATTAATTTTTAAAACCTCAAAATTGTACTAGAGCAATAATTATGTAATATCGTAACACGTAGAAAATCTGTTAATTCCCATATCTATACAGAACACACCTTGTCAGAAGCCCGTCATCATAATTAGGAGGAAACATATGATCCTACCACTTGCCATTTCAACTAACGCATGAGACCTGTGAAGACACAACAAACATTAAGTTGCAATTAAGAGTTCTAAAATTATTCTCACTCTAATTCATCATCTTTAAACAAAACAAATTATTAACACTTACCTGTAGGCGCTGGTCAACAAAACCACAGCGGTCATTTCGAAAATGGTCATACAGATTTTGGAGTACTTTAAAGTTGTGAGTGATTAAAATGGTCATCGGTCTGCATGGTTTTGCTCAAGATGATGCTTGCGTTCGTCTTGGCAGTGTTCAGTGAGCCAGAGAGGCAATACCTAAATCAAATAAATAATAATTGCATTAATGTTACATTCTTTTCTAAAGATAACACATACGTGTAAATTTTATACGATAATTTTTTCATATGGAAAGATAATGCATAAGTACTGTAAATTTAATAAGTAATTTCCACCTTGCAGATTCTTCATCATCAAGGTTGAAGCCTACTTATGCTGATGCACCATCGATCAAGGCATAAACGGGGTTCTTCTGCAGTGCGGAGAAATTGATACCCCAACCCAAAAATTGCAAAAATCAAAATCCAATGTGGATTATAAATTCTCACATTCATTCTATCATTTTGATTTTGATTCTTAATGTATATATGCATGTGGATGTTAGACAAATATTTGATAATGTAGAATTAAATTTCAAAATAAAGATTTCCTAGTTTGAGAGCACAAGTAAGATGCACGTGCATTGAACATGATTATTGATATTTGTTATGGTTGAAAAGTTATTTTTGTTGAATTTATATTGATATTGAATACATTCCATTAGCTTAATAATATATAATTATATATGTATAATAAATTTTATAAATTTACTAGGTACGAAATGCAATCTATAATGATATTAATATAAATCTATAATGGAATAAAAATAAATAATTATTTTTTCTGCCCTGAGATTATCAATCTCATGTACATATAAAAACTTTAAACAAAAAACTTACCACAATTTCTGGCACTCTACAAGCATGTGTCCCATTGTCCAATCCAAAAGTCCCAAATTTTAATCCCTTAAGTTCAGGGAAATACAGGTGACTAGGAATATTCACATGTAGTTCCTCGACCTCCTTTGCCTCTTGAGGTGTAAGAGTATGATTTGTCATGGCTGAATTATCTACCATGAGATGATCGATCTCAGTAATAATTTACTATAAGTTAGATAAAATAGAGTACCTATAACTGCCAACTGGATGAACTGTAAACAACTCATAATTAAGTATACAAATTCCTATTAACATCTATATCTTTATCTATATATATAAAAGCTAAGTAGGTAATTTTTTTTCCCTCCAAAACTACAAAAAATTTCCTTGTACACAACATTATTAGTTCGACTAAAAATTTATCAACTTGGAAAAAAAATATGATGAATGGGATAATATTCATCAAGTTAGAAAAATAAGATAAGGGATGATAATTAAGATAAGGACTAAAATTGGTGAGGATTAAGATAAGGAACGTGTTTAGTTAAGATTTCATTAATTATATTATCGATATAATTGTAATATATAATTATAGTTGATTATTATTCATTACGGAAACAAAGACACATACACAAAAATTGGCTAAAATTTATCAAATTAAAAAAATAAAAATATATGATAAATAAGAAAGATCCTTAGTAAATGAAATGAGGAAATGAAGATTTGTGGGATTTTTAAATTCTAGACAAATTTGGTAATGAAAGAGAGACTGATGAAAGACAATAATATATAGTGAAAAAATTATTTATGGCATTTTCCAAGCCAAATTTGTTTCCAAAATTTTTATTCGAACCTAAATATAAAGCATGATATTGTGACATGTAAGATTCCAAAGCGTGCGAACCTGCCACTTAGGCTCAGTACGTTTTGAATCAATATATAGGGGGATGTAACTAATAAAGAAGAAATAACTTAAAAATATGGATGTAAATGTAAAAATTTTACATGTATATATGCTAGCTTAACTTAAAGTAATAATGTTATTCATTTACTATAAAATACAATAAAACATATTATATATTTTCATTTCTTGCTCAAATTTAGAAAACATTTATACTTATTTACTTTACCTTTTTTTTTTTTTTTTTTTCCAAGACGACAGAGTAACTATTATATAACTCGAGGGGACAAAGTCCGAATACACTGTTTAGAATACAGATAGGTCGAAACCGAAATAAAAAACTGGGAGACACACCCAAGGGTGGCCTAGAGCCTCAACAAGAGGAACAAACTACAACAAAACAATAATAACAAAAAGAATCAGCCCCATCTACTGCTAAAAGCCTAGAGGAAAACTGATTCTAACAACTAACTAGGAAACAAAAAGAGCAAAACAAAAACAGAAACTAGATAGTAATGTGGGAAGATGAGAACTGGAGCCATTCTGAGTGAGCTATTTTCAATAACTGGGTTTCAGGTCTCTTATAAACCAACTTAGTGATTTTCCTAACTAAATATCAAATTGATTTTTTTTTTTAAAAGTTGATTTTGTACTTCATTTATTAATAAGAAGGGAGTTTAATTACGAGCAGTTGATACTTCATTTTTGAACTTGAAAGATCAGGAAGTGTTTTTACCTTGATTATGTGACCCTTTCCTAGGAGCACGCCACTGACGAGCACCCTTCTAGCTTCAGAGCTTGCTCCTCCCATGTATACTACATAATTTTTTTGTCATCCATCTCAGATGCAACAGTTTCTGTTACAATAAATTTGCATGTGATGAGTCACCATTTTAATTTGGCTTGTACAATCTAAATTTACCATTAACCTGGGGATTAAAATCTAGGACACATATGCACACCTGGTATATTAATTTTTAAATCCTCAAATTTGTACTAGAGCAATAATTATGTAATATCGTAACACGTAGGAAATCTGTTAATTCTTATATCTATACTGAACACACCTTGTCAGAAGCCCGTCACCATAATTAGGAGGAAACATATGATCCTAACACATGCCATTCCAACTGACGCATGAGACCTGTGAAGACACAACAAACATTACGTTGCAATTAAGAGTTCTAAAATTATTGTCACTCTAATGCAGCATCTTTAAAGAAAACAAATTATTAACACTTACCTGTAGGCGCTGGTCAACAAAACCACAGCGGTCATTTCGAAAATAGTCATACTGATTCTAGAGTACTTTAAAGTTGTGAGTGATTAAAATAGTCATCGGTCTGCTTGGTTTTGCACAAGATGATGCTTTCGTTCGTCTTAGCAATGTTCAGTGAGCCAGGGAGGCAATACCTAAATCAAATAAATAATAATTTTTTTATTGTTACATTTTTTCTAAATATAACACATATGTGTAAATTTTATACGATATTTTTTTCATATGGTAAGATAATGCATAAGTACTGTAAATTTAATACGAAATTTCCACCTTGCATATTCTTCATCATCAAGGTTGAAGCCTACTTTTGCTGATGCACCATCGATCAAGGCATAAACAGGGTTCTTTTGCAGTGCGGAGAAATTGATACCCCAACCCTAAAATTGCAAAAATAAAAATCCAATGTGGATTGTAAATTCTCACATTCATTCTATCGTTTTGATTTTGATTCTTAATGCATATAAATTGAAAAGCAGAATGTAAAAGTAGGCATTATATTGAAAATAAGTTAAAAGTGAAACCCTCAAATGAAAATGTTGAAAATGCAAGCCTTATTGTGACTCAATGTCAAAAAATCAAGCCCTACAATAAAATTTTTCCTACTTTTACATTCTACTTTTCAATTTAAGACTCTATATTATTTGGTATTTTGATATAATTATGTAAACTAAAATACTATTATTTTAAAAATTATATTTTATATAATTATAAATATCTGTAGTAAAATTATTGTAGTTTAGTTTTCTAAATAGTTTATTTTGTAATGTTATCACATATTTAGATTAAAATTAAGTTAAAATTTATTTTTTAACTTTTTAAATAAATTTCATTAAGCTATTGCATAAATGTAAATTATGAAATAATTATCTTAAGTAATTTTACTAAGATTTTTAATATTTTTGGATTATAAGTACTTAAAAAATAATTTTTTTTTAAAAAAAAAAATATTATGGTTTACATAATTATGTCAAAATACAAATTAATTTGGAGTCTTAAACTAAAAAGTAGAATGCAAAAATAGACCTTATATTGAGAATAAGTTAAAAGTGAAACCCTCAAATGAAAAGATTGAAAATTCAAGTCTTATTGCGACACAATATCAAAAAGTCAGCGAATTTCTCCTGTAAAGGTATGGTATTTAAAGAGCTACAGCATCGGTCGGACTACCAAAACACATTGTTATGGTAATTAAAACATCGAAAGCTACTAAAAAAAATCCAAAGACCAAGCATTCAAGTCAAATGAATTGATTATCCAAACAAGATCATATCTCGACTCTGTATCCCAAACCAAGACGTGATTGGTGTATCAGAATTCTTGATGCACCACATAAACTCCCTCTCACCTACCAAAATTTGAGCGCCTAAACAAACGCAACACCAACGTATTAAACCATTAATCAACCATGAATTCCACACCAAAAACCTCACTTCAGTCGGAATCCGGATCGCCATCGACAATATCAGGAAGTGAAGCATCACCGTCAGACAACTCGTTCTCCAATGCAAACATGGTCGAAATTCGTTCGACAATCGTCACACGCTCATCATTCTTGTCCTCCACAACTTCATGTCCAGTCGTGGATCCTACCTTGGAAATCACATCACTCTTCACCACAACTTCATTCTCGACAAATTTAGCTTCCCTGCTCACTAATTCCAACTCAGCACTTTCGCGACCACATGTGGGCCCCACACCACCGCCATCATCGATGGTTGTTCTTTGCTCCGTGATATTAATTTCCAAATCCCCAGACTCAGGCATATTAACGCCACCATCAGACATTATCACATCATTTTCTCCGGACACGAGATTAGTGGTTGCCACCTCAACAGAAGAGGGCCCATCTAGCGAGTGAGGCCTTCGACTTTCAGTGATTTGAGTATTATCCATTTCATTGTTATTTCTGAGCCAATTTTCGTCTAGGTCGTCGTCGTCTTCTGATTCGGGCTCACTGGTGCTGTTTCTAATATGATACGTGGAGATTTGTCCATCTCCACTAGGGCGTGTAGTGTCCCGCCACTTTTTGTGGGTTGGAAAATTATATTCGTTAGAGGTAGAGTCTATTAATGGAAGGGCCCTTGGGTGTATGAGCACTTCTAAGGCCAGAAGGGCATGGCCGCAATATTCGCTGATTTTTGTGCTCGCTTCTTGCACGCCTACAAAAATACACAACATTTTCAATGAAGGGAAAGCAAGCATC